ATTCACGTTGAGAGTGATTATTGAAAGATATGAATTAATTGTCATCATGTTGCCTTTGAAGACTGTGTTTTTATAGATTGTCCCTGTAAATTTCTGTTTTATATCACTCTTGGGGTGTTTCTCCTTTTTTAGAACCCCCCTTAATATTTCTTGCAGGGCCGGCTTAGTGGTCACATATTCTTTCAGTTTCTGCCAGTCTTGGAAGCTCTGCATCTCTCCATCTTGCCGGATAAAGTATTCTTTGGTGCATGTTCTTCTCATTTAGTACCCTGAATATGTCTTGCCAGGTCTTTGTGGATAGGTCTGACATTATTCTGATGTTCCTCCCTCTGTACGTAAGGAATCTCTTCCCCCTAACTGCCCTTAAGATGGTTTCCTTGGTTCTAAGAATTGCGAGTTTTACTATTACATGCCAGGGTGTTGGCCTGTTTTCCTTGATCTTGGGAGGGATCCACTCTGCCTCTAGGACGTGAATGTTTGTTTCATTCCCCAGATTAGGGAAATTCTCAGCTATGATTTCCTCAAATACATCTTCTAGTCCTCTCTTTCTCTCCACTCCCTCCGGGATTGCAATTATTCTGACATTGGAATGCTTCATGGTGTCACTTATTTCTCTGATTCTAGTTTCATGGATTCTGAGTTGTTTTTCCCTGGCCTCCTCTTTTCCCTTTCTATCTATTATATTGTCTTCCAGGTCGCTTATTCATTCTCCTGCCTCAGTTACCCTAACTGTTCGATTATCTAGATTGGATTGGATCTCATTGATATCATTTTTAAGTTCTGCCAATTCAGCTTTCATTTCTGCCCTTAGAGACTCTATGTTGCCATTAATTGATTTCTCCATTCTAGCCATTGTCTTCACAATTGCTAGCCTGAATTCCATCTCCGACATCTTGGTTATATCTACATCCATTTGTAAATCTGCAGCATAAGCTATAATCTCTGAGTCTTTTCTATTTTGGGGGCTCCTCCTCCTAGTCATTCTGTTGATGGGTGTTTGAGGGAATGTATAGAGTCCAAATTATTAACCAGAACCCAAGCAAGATGCACCTGCTTTCTTGAGACCTTAGGGTTGCTGGCTTCTTGTTCTCCCAGCCTATCTTCTGGGGGAGGGGCCTACAGTGCTTTTACTCGGGCAACCCTGTTTGGGCAGAGTTGCCCTGCCCCCCTGTGGCAGGGGATGGGCTCAGCGGGAATCAGTTTTGGGGCTTTTGTTCTCTGGCAGCTTTCCCTGGCAGCTTTCTGCATCTCTTCCACGAGTCAGAGCAGAAGAGACTGTTTCCAACCCTCTGCCTCAGAGCAGAGAGATTGCAGTCTGTTCTTCAGTGAGCTCTCCTGGCCACACTGTCCCCGTTTCTGTCCGTGCTGCTATAAACTGCAGCATCCTGGGTTTTGTGCCCCTCCACAGCGCCCCCAGTCCTGCCTCCAGGTCCAGGCAGTCTCTGCCCTTTGTGCTTCTAAAACCGCCAGCCACTCCCAGGTTGCACGCACGACCCCAGCACTCCGGGTTTCTGCCCCGAGGGCTGCCCTAAAGTCCTTTACCTGCCGCTACTGGTCTGTGAGTCTGTGGCCTGTCCCCAGCGCGTGAGGCTGTCCCTCACCAGCGGTGTAGGATCCCCATGGCCAGGCACCCTCCCGCTGCCGTTTATCCTCCGATATCTGCCCGCGAAATCAGTGTTCCCTGCTTCGTACCTCAAAACCAACCTCCTGCAATATTCTGTTTGTAGAGATCCAGATCTTCTTACATATCAGGCTGATTTCGTGGGTTCTCAGGGTGGTCTGGTAGATATCCAGCTCAATTCCGGGGACCAGTTGAAATAGGGTCCCCTACTCCTCCGCCATCTTTCCTTCCCTGTTTATAATCATTTCTAATATTTGTTTCTATTTCCTTGGTGTTAGTCGTAATCTCCTCCCTTTCATTCATAATTTTATTAATTTGGGTCCTTTCTCTTTTCTTTTGGATAAGTCTGGCCCATGGTTAATCAATCTTGTTAATTCTTTCAAAAAACGAGCTTCTAGTTTCGTTGATCTTATCTGTGTTTCTGGTTTCTAATTCATTGATCACTGCTCTAATCTTAATTATTTCTCTTCTAATGTGTGCTTAAGGCATCATATTTTGCTTTTTCTCTAGTTCTTTAAGGTGTAGGGTTAATTGGTGAATTCGGGATTTTTCTGGTTTTTTTGAGTGAGGCTTGGATGACTATGTATCTCCCCCTTAGGACCGCCTTTGCAGAATCTCATAGGTTTTGGACCTATGTGTTTTCGTTCTCATTGGTTTCCATGAATTGTTTAAGTTCTTCTTTGATTTCTTAGTTGACCCAAACATTCTTGAGCAGAGTGGTCTTTAGCTTCCACGTGTTTGAATTTCTGCCAATTTTTTTGTTGTGATTGAGTTCCAGTTTTAAAGCATTATGGGTTGAGAAGATGCTGGTAATAATTTCAATCTTTTGTAATCGGTTGAGACCAGATTTATGATCCAGTTTGTGGTCTATTCTGGAGAAAGTTCTGTGTGCGCTCAAGAAGCATGAATATTCTTTTGTTTTAGGGTGAAGTGTTCTGTATATATCAATGAAGTCCATCTGGTCCACTGTGTCATTCAAAGCTCTTGTTTCTTTGTTGATTTTCTGCCTAGATGATCTGTCTATTGCTGAGAGGGGAGTATTGAGGTCTCCTACAATTAATGTATTGTTATCAATATGACTATTTTGGTTAACAGTTGGCTTATGTAGATGGCTGCTCCCATGTTGGGGGTGTAGATATTTACAATTGTTAGATCTTCTTGTTGGATAGACCCTTTAGGAATGATATAGTGTACTTCTGTGTCTCTACAGTCTTTAGTTTAAAGTCTATTTTTTCTGATATAAGAGTTGCTACCCCAGCTTTCTTTTGAGGTTCGCTGGCATGGAAGATGGAGCTCCATCCCTTCCATTTCAGTCTGGATGTATGTTTAGGTTCAAAATGAGTCTCTTTTGGACAGCATATTGATGGGTCCTGTCTTTTTATCCAATCTGCAACCCTGTGCCGTTTTATGGGTACATTTAGGCCGTTCACATTGAGAGTGATTATAAAGATATGAATTTATTGTCATCATGTTGCCTGTGAAGACTTTGTTTTTATAGATTGTCCCTGTAAATTTCTGTTGTATATCACTCTTGTTATCTTTCTTCTTTTATAGAACCCCCCCTTAATATTTCTTGCAGGGCCAGCTTCGTGGTCACATATTCTTTCAGTTTCTGCCGGTCTTGGAAGCTCTTCATCACTCCATCCATTCTAAATGACAGCCTTGCCAGCTGAAGTATTCTTGGCTGCATGTTCTTCTCGTTTAGTACCCTGAATATGTCTTGCCAGGCCTTTCTGGCTTGCCAGGTCTCTGTGGATAGGTCTGACGTTATTCTGATGTTTCTCCCTCTGTACGAAGGAATCCCTTCCCCCTAACTGCCCTTAAGATGGTTTCCTTGGTTCTAAATTTTGCAAGTTTTACTATTACATGCCGGGGTGTTGGGCTGTTTTCCTTGATCTTGGGAGGGGTCCTCTCTGCCTCTAGGACAGAAATGTTTGTTTCATTCCCCAGATTAGGGATGTTCTCAACTATGATTTGTTCCAATGTACCTTCTAGTCCTTTATCTCTACCCCCTCAGGGATCCCAATAATTCTGACATTAGAATGTTTCATGGTGTAGCTTATTTCTCTGATTCTATTTTCATGGATTTTGATTTGATTTGATTTGTTTTTCCCTGGCCTCCTCTTTTTCCTTCTTTTCTATCAATTGGTCTTCTAGGTCGCTAATTTGTTCTTCTACCTCGCTTACCCTAGCTTTTAGAGTATCTAGATTAGATTGGATCTCATTGATAGCATTTTGAAGTTCTGCCAGTTCAGCTTTCATTTCTGCCTTTAGAGATTCTATGTTGCCATTAATCGATTTCTCCATTCTAGCTATTGGTCTTCATAATTGCTACCCTGAATTTCATTTCCAACATCTTGGTTATATCTGTATCCATTTTCAAATCTGTGGCAGAATTCACAGTTTCTGAGTCTTTCCTGTTTTAGGGGTTCCTCCTCCTGGTCATTCTGTTGAGGGGGGTTGAGGGAATGTACAGAGTCCAAATTATTGACCACAACCCAAGCAAAATGCACCTGTTTTATAGGAACCTTAGGGTTGTCAGTCTCTTGTTCTCCCAGCCTGTCTTCTGGGGAGGGGCCTGCCGCGCTGCTACTTAGGCAACCCTGTTTGGGTAGAGTTGCCCTGCCCTCTGGGGGGGGGGATTGGCTCAGTGAAAACCAGTTTTTTGGGGATTTTGTTCTCTGGCGGCTTCCCTTGTGGCTTTCCGTTTCTCTTCCATGAGTCAGAGCAGAAGAAATCGTTTCCAACCCTCTGCCTCAGAGCAGAGAGATAGCAGTCTGTTCTTCAGTAAGCTCTCCAGACCACACTATCTCCGTTTCTGTCTGTTCTGCTATAATCTGCAGCATCCTGGGTTCTGCACCCTCAGTAAGGCTCCCAGTCCTTGCCTCCAGGTTGGGGCACGTCTCTGCCCTTTGTGCTTCTAAAACTGCCAACCACCCCAAGTTCGAACACGTGGCCCCACCACTCCAGGTTTCAGTCCAGGAGGCTTCCCTAAATTCCTTTCCCCATCACTACCGGTCTGTGAGTCTGTGCCCATTTCCCAGCACAGGAAGCCTTTGTGTTCCTGTGTTATTTCACCTTCCTGGTGCCAGCGCTTATGGCAGCTCCCTCCCCCTTCCATTTATCTTCCAATATCTGCCTGCGGAATCACGACACCCCACTTTGTACCTCGAAACCAACCGCCTGTGATATTCTGTTTGTAGAGATCCAGATCTATCTTCTAACATCTCAGGCTGATCTCGTGGTTGTTCAGAGTGGTCTGCTGGATATCCAGCTCAATTCCAGGGTCCGGTTGGAATAGTGTCCCCTACTCCTCCACCATCTTTTCCTCCCCCTTAGCCTTTCATTTTTTTAAACCTGTTTTCTTTCTGTTTTACAGAATGATTATCAGCCTAGCTGTGGGCGGTCTTTACGAAGGACACAGCGCAAGCGTCAGCATACTTACCAAACACGGTCCACCATAGAGCATAATTCACAAGCATTGTGTCAAAATTCAGGTGTACAGGAAGACTCAGACAGCTCTTCAGAGGTTAGATATCTGCTATTATTTACTTAGTGTAATTTTTGTTTACCAGTTAGTGTCATCACCTTGGGTTTACTTTTAATAGTCATTTTAATAGAAACTAATTTTAATGTATTTCCTTTTAAGAAGAGTATTCATTAATAAGGCATTTAATAAGCAACTTTGAGCATTATATTGAATTCCTTTAGATATGTTCTATGATTTATACCAAAGAAAGTATTTTGTTTGAGTGTATCAAATATGCCAGTAAAAGTTTGACTTTGGGACAAATGAGAAAAGAGTGAGAGGAATTCTGCCCCTAAATAAAAAGTGGAATATAAACAGTAATGACTAGCTTACAGTCCCAGAACTCGTTTACTGAGTAATCAGCAGAAAGGCACATTTTCAGTTATTGTTGACTTCATCATTCATGGAGATTATGAAGTGATGGCTTTTTTCAGACCTACTTTATTCATGGTAATAGAATAAGAGTATACCAATTCTTTTCTTCCTCTCTTCTTCAGTCCTTTCCTTTTGTTCTCTTAACAACTTTAGTTGTTAAGTGGCTAATGTGGATTTAATTATTCATTGACATTATATGGCACTCCCATTATTCTTCTAGCATTCAATTTTTTAATTCTTATCAATGATATCCTTCCTTTTCTCCCTCACCTATGGAAATCTTGAACTAAAATGAATGGTCAGATATTGAGGAATGACATTACATTTCTAATGGCATAATGGTAGTGTGGTTTTGTTTTAAAAAAGAATCTTAATCTTACTAAATTTTTACAGTTAAAGTTCTTTTTTTATAAAATGGCATTGAAATAATCATGTGGGTATGAGGCAATTGGTGATGGTACAGATAAAACAAGATTGGCAGTGAGTTATTGTATAAACAGGATATTGTGTACACAAGAGTAATTTATTCCCTCTACTTTGCTATGTTTGAAATTTTGCATAATAAAAATTATTAAATTTTATGGAGAGTAATGATATTAACTTGGCAGAGGCATATAGATATTTTTTAAGCAATGGTTTTAGCATTTAAGAGGGTTATATTTGGGAACCTTAAGGAGTCTCTTCAGTCTTTGAAATAATAAAAGATGTCCCATATCAGTAAGATAGTAGATATTAAAAAGAATTTTAAATACCTGGTAAGCTTAGTTGTGAGTTACAGATATATGTAGAAAAATGATTATGTGCATTTTTTAAATATTTATTTGTTTTAGAGAGAGAGAGTGCGTGAGTGAGGGAAGGGGCAGAGGGATAGGGAGAGGAGAGAGAGAATCTCAAGTAGACTCACCACTGAGTGCAGAGCCTGACAGGTAGCTCAATCCCACTGCCATGAGATCATGACCTGAGCCAAAATTGAGTCAGACATTCAACCTACTGAGCCACCCAGGAGCCCCTAATTATGTACTTAATTGGAATGTTGTTTTGATTGGAGAAAATACAAAAAGTGTTATAAAACAGGTACTGTGTGATAATTAATAATATGCTAGTTAATCATCACATATCTCAATTGCTGGCTCCTTATTGCAGGAAGATGAAACAATTGGCACAAGTGATGCTTCTGTAGAGGATCCTGTTATTGAATGGCAAAGTGAAAGTTCTTCCAGGTAGTTGTAATCGTTTTGATTTGATCAAAATTATTTTACCATTTTAATGTGAAATTATCTTCTTGTAGGAATTTGGTAAATCCAGAGTTAAAATAGTATTTTATAGTAGAAAGAGTACTAGGTTGGAAATCCAGAAACTTGCTTTATCCTGGTTCTGCCATTATCTTTTTGGGCATGTCACTATGGGCTTTAGTTTCCTCATTTGTAAAATAAGATGCTTTGTAAATCTAAGATTCTGCATCTTAGCAGGCTATGTTTATTTAGTTGAGTTTTAAAACAGCTACATTTAACCATTTACAGGGATTGGGGCACCTTTATTTAAAGAAGCTTTTGTGACTTGAACAGGAGTTTGAATTTTAAATTCTGTTATGGGAAACTAACCATTATACTTTATACAAGAAGGATTTCACTGAAATCACTTAGATAATGATCAAAAATCTATATTGATATTTTTTCTGTTCAGTTAGAACAATATCAAGCCATGTCATTTTTTTTTTTAAAGATTTATTTATTTATTTTGAGAGAGTGAGAATGAGAGAGAGAGAGAGTATATGAGAGCGGGGAGGGTTACAGGGAGAAGCAGGCCCCTCGCCGAGCAGGGAGCCCAATGCGGGACTCGATCCCGGGACTCCAGGATCATGACCTGAGCCGAAGGCAGTTTCTTAACCAACTGAGCCACCCAGGTGCCCCAAGCCATGTCATTTATAATGCTGTTTTATTACAAAATGATCATCTTTCATTTAGGAGGCAAAACTATTCCTTTTCTAAACTTATATATTCATAATTTTGATATATTTATAGTGATTCATCAAGTGAATATTCTGATTGGACAGCAGATGCTGGAATAAATTTGCAACCTCCAAAAAGACAAACCAGACAGGCAACACGGAAAATATGCAGCAGCTCTGAGGAGGAGAATTTGAAGTCACTAGAAGAAAGGCAAAAGAAAACTAAACAAACTAGAAAGAAGGTTTGTAAATTTACTAGTTTTTATTTTTGCCTTTGACACTTGAATAATAGTAACACTTGACTTTTCTCTAAAAATAACATTCCATCTGAGAAACTAAGTAAAATTGTTTAAAATGACTTTAAAATAAAAAGTTTTAATTTTTTTTCAAAAGTAGAGGCTAGAATGTCTTCATTATTATTTTAGTTATTATTAAATTAAAACATTGATAATCACTTTTAAAATATAGTAGAGTTTATTTTATTTTTTTATTATGTTAAGTTAGCCACCATACAGTACATCATTAGTTTTTAACGTAGTGTTCAGTGATTCATTAGTTGCGTATAACACCCAGTGCTCATCACAACACATGCCCTCCTTAGTTCCCATCACCTGGCTACCCCATCCCCCAACCCCCTCCCCTCTGAAACCCTCAGTTTGTTTCCCGGAGTCCAGAGTCTCTGATGGTTCGTCTCCATCTCTGATTTCCCTCCCTTCAGATTTCCCTTCCTTCCCCTATGGTCCTCTGTGCTATTCCTTATGTTCCACATATGAGTGAAACCATATGATAATTGTCTTTCTCTGCTTCACTTATTTCACTTAGCATAATCCTGTCCATTTTCATCCATGTCAATGCAAATGGTGGGTATTCATCTTTTCTGATGACCGAGTAATAGTCCATTGAATATATGAACCACATCTTCTTTATTCATTCATCTCCTGAAGGGCATCTTGGTTCCTTCCACAGTTTGGCTATTGTGGACATTGCTGCTATGAACATTGGGGTGCATGTGCTCCTTCTTTTCATTACATCTGTATCTTTGGGAGAAATACCTAGTAGTGCAATTGCTGGGTCGTAGGAAAATTTAGTAGAGTTTTAAATATTAAGCTACCATAGTATGAAAATGTTATTCTTGTCATGTTTCTGGTCATAAATTTCTGTACCTTTTGACTTGTAAAATGGAAAGGTATAATAAATTATGTAGGTGTTCTTCCATTTCTTTTTATGTTTTTATTTCATCCCAATGGTGGTTTCTCTTCCTCAGAGAATTTCAGGTAAAGACTTAGTCCACATAGTTATTTGAATATTAATTTAAAAATTTATTATGTACATATTCTGTATCCTGTTGCTTTAGTAGACAGAATTATCTTCTTGATTGTCACCATTTTATTGGCAAAAAGATCCTCTGTTACTTGTACTCAAATTCATATGGTATTCTGAGGACTTGAAAGTTTGTGGTTCTTATGTAGTATATAATGTTGTATTATTATCTGTCAGCCAAAATTGAGCAACATATTAAAGAATTAACTTGATTATTTTATTGGTACAAGATTGTACATAATTAATTGGTGAATTAAAATGTTTAAAATTTGTATATTTTAGGTTTTATTATAACCTGATTTTTTTAACATTCTCTGTTATTTTTCATACTACTATTCATATATTTATGGTTTATATATTTGTGAACTATATTTTAGAAAGGAGGACTGCTTTCTATGGCAGGTGAACCCAATGAAGAATGGTTTGCCCCTCAGTGGATTTTGGATACCATACCACGACGTTCCCCATTTGTCCCACAGATGGGAGATGAGGTAATTGTTACCTGTTATAATCTTTTTCTCTGGGAACCTCAAGAGCACTCACTTTAATCAGTCTTAGGACATTTATATTCTCAATTCTATTATAGTTATATGTACACTGTCTTAACTGCTCTCCTCCATTATATATTCTTGTGGACAGTGACAGAATCTTACTAGTTTTTGTATCCTTGGTGTTGTTGACAACCTAACTCTATGCTTCAGAGACAAAATATAACTCGAAGACAGAGTTTGAGTAAAGAGGAAAAGAGGAACAGTAGCTTTATTGCCTTCCCAGGCAAAAGAGGCTACAGCAGGCTATGGCCTTCAAAAACTGCTAGTCCACTGGAGGAAGGGGATAGGGGGTGTTATAGGGAAATACAGAATCAAGCTGGTTTTGATAGGCATTATGTACTTTCTACTAGCTCTTTTGTCATGTCTTTAGGGTGGTAACAGGTTCCTGAAACAAAAGGCTAAGAAGGGAGGAGGGGAGGTTTGCAGAAGAGAGGTAAAAGGTTACTTTAAAATCTAGCTTCACTGAAGCATTACTGTAGCCATTTTGATTTCTGTTCAACTTAGCACAGAATCTTCAATATATTAGATGCTCAGAGAATATTTAAATAAATTGGCTTAGGAACTCATGAAAATAATTGTCTTTATTTTTAGCTTAATTGCCACTTAGTAGAATTAAAGTGGCATTTTGAGTCCTAACTCAAGTCCTAGTATTCTTTTTTTTAAAAAAGCCCAAGCTCGGAGCGCCTGGGTGGCTCAGTCATTAAGTGTCTGCCTTCAGCTCAAATCATGATCCCAGGGTCCTGGGATCAAACCCCACATCGGGCTCTCTGCTCGGCGGGAAGCCTGCTTCTCCCTCTTCCACTCCCCCTGCTTGTGTTCCCTCTCTCGATGTCTCTCTCTCTGTCAAATAAATAAATAAAATCTTTGGGCGCCTGGGTGGCTCAGTCAGTTAAGCGGCTGCCTTCGGCTCAGGTCACGATCCTGGAGTCCCGGGATCGAGTCCCGCATTGGGCTCCCTGTTCGGCAGGGAGTCTACTTCTCCCTCTGACCCTCCCCCCTCTCATGTGCGCTCTCTCTCTCTCTCTCATTCTCTCTCTCTCAAATAAATAAATAAAATCTTTAAAAAAAATAAAAATAAAATCTTTAAAAAAAATAAATAAAAAAGCCTATGCTCAACCTGATAGAAAATATACTAGAGGACAGTTACCCATTTCAGTGATTAGAAGAATGTCATTTCATGAGCAAGTCCTTCCTACTGAGCCTATGATTGAATAACATAGCCATGTTTATCACTGGTCCGTCAAAAATTGATTTAAATTCTCTCTTGTGAGAAAGTTTTCATTTTCTTATGAAAATTATGGTAACATTATTTTATGGTATTTTATGGTAACATAATATTTTAACTAAAATTGGCTTGTATATTCTCTGATATATTGAGTAATCATTTCTGAGTGATTAAATGTTTGCAGTTTTTAATTTAAGACTAATAATAGGAATGTAATATTGCCATCATAATAAAAGAAGGGGCAGAACTTTGCAAATGGGTCTAAAAGTCATGGGACCAATAAAAATTTCACCAAATGTTTCTATAATTGACTTATAGATATCTTATACCAGACATAGTGATCAAGTAGTCTTATAAAGAATTACTTGCTCATTATCTTTTCATATTATTAAAATGTTTCCTTTCATAATTGTGTCTTCAAATAAGTATTGGAATTTGGAGCAATGCTTGTTTGTGTGGTTATTTTAGTAGAACATGCTCTGATGAATGCTATATTAAAAAAAAAACCTAAAGAACTTTTTCAGGGGCATATTCAAAATCATGATTTGTTGTACTTATTGCCTGTTCTTATGGAGGCTTAAGGGGAATAATTTTTTTTAAGATTTTATTTAAATCCCAGTTACTTAACATACAGTTTTATATTAGTTTGTTTCAGGTATGCAATATGCTGATTCAACACTTCCATGCAACACCTGGTGCTCATCACAAGTGTACTCCCTAATCTCTAGCACCTATTTAACGCATCCCCTTACCCACCTCCCTTCTGGTAACCATCAGTTTATTCTCCATAGTTAAGTTTCTTTCCCGATTTCCCTTGCTCTCTCTTTTTTTCCCTTTGCTACTTTGTTTTGTTTTTTAAATTCCATATATGAGTGAAATCATATGGTATTTGTATTTCTCTGACTGCCTTATTTCACTTAACATGATATTTTCTAGCTAAATCCATGTTCTTGCAAATGGCAAAATTTCATTCTTTTCAATGGCTGAGTAATATTCCATTGTGTACAAATAAAACATCTACTGTATCCATACATAAGTCGATGGACACATGGGCTGTTTCCATAATTTGGCTATTGTACATAATACTGTAATAAACACTGGGGTGCATGTATCCACTTGAACTAGTATTTTTGTATTCTTTAGGTAAATAACTAGTAGGGTAAATTCTGGATCCTAGGGTAGTTTTATTTTTAACTTTTTGAGGAACCTCCATACTGTGTTCCACAGTGGCTGTGCCACTTTGCATTCCCACCAACATTGCACCTTTTCTCCACACCCTCGTCAAGACTTCTTGTTTCTTGTGTAGTTGATTGTAGCCATTCTGACTGGTGTGAGGTGGTATCTCATTGTAATTTTAATTAGTATTTCCCTGATGATGAGTAATGTTGAGTATTTTTTCACCTGTGTGTTGGACATCTGAGTGTCTTCTTTGAAAAAATGTCTATTCATGTGTTCTGCCCATTTTTTAATTGGATTATTTGTTTTTTGGGTGTTGAGTTTTATAACTTCTTCATATGTTTTGGATATTAACCCTTTATCAGATATGTCATTTGCAAATATCTTTTCCCATTCTGTAGGTTACCTTTTAGTTTTGTAGATTGTTTCCTTTGCTGTGCAGAAACATTTTATTTTGATGTGATCCTCATAGTTTATCTTTGCTTTTGTTTCCCAGACATATGTAGAAAGAAGTTGCTACACCAATGCCAATGTCAAAGAAGTTAGTGCTTGTGTTCTCTTCTAGGATTTTTGTGGTTTGAGGTCTTTCATTTGGGTCTTTAATACATTTGGAATTTACTTTTGGTTTTGGGTATATGAAAATGGTCCAGTTTCATTATTTTGTATGTTGCTGCTCAATTTTCCCAACACCATTGGTTGAAGAGACTCTTTTTCCCATTGAATATTCTTTCCTCCTTTATCAAAGATAATTGATCATGTAGTTGTGTTCTGTTGACCTATGTGTCTGATTTTGTGTGAATACCATACTGTTTTGATTACTGCAGCTTTATAATAAAAATTGAAGTCTGGAATTGTGATGCATCCAGCTTTGCTATTCTTTTTCAAGGTAGCTTTGGCTATTTGGGGGTCTTCTGTGGTTTCATACAAATTTTAGGATTGTTTGTTCCAGTTCTGTGAAAAATGCTAGTGGTATTTTGATAGGAATTGCATGAAATGTGTAGGCTATGTTGGGTAGTATAGACATTTTAACAATATTTGTTCTTTCAATCCCTGAGCATGGAGCGTCTTTCCATTTCTTTGTCTTATCTTCAATTTCTTTCATCAGCGTTTTACAGTTTTAGAATACAGGTCTTTAACCTCTTTGGTTAGATTTATTCCAAGGTATCTTATTAGTTTTGCGGCAGTTGTAAATGGAATTGAGTCCTTAATTTGTCTTTCTACTGATTCATTTTTGGTGTATAGAAATGTAACAGATTTCTGTACATTCATTTTGTATCCTGCAACTTTACTGAATTCGTGTATCAATCCTAGTACTCTTTTAGTGCAATCTTTGGGGTTTTCTATATAGAGTATCATATCAGCTGCAAATAGTGGAAGTTTTATTTCTTCCTTGCCGATTTGGATGCTGTTTATTTCCTTTTGTTGTCTGATTGCTGAGGCTATGACTTCCAGTACTATGTTAAATAAGAGTGGTGAGAGTGGCCATCCCTGTCTTGTTCCTGACCATGAAGGAAAAACTCGCAATTTTTCCCCTATAAAGACAATATTAACAGTGGGTTTTTTGGTATATGGCCTTCATTATGTTGTAGTATGTTTCCTCTAAACCTACTTTGTTGGAGGTTTTTATCATGAATGGAGGCTGTACTTTGTTAAATGCTTTTTCTGTATCTATTGAAATGATCAGGTTTATAAAGAGTTAAGAGAATGGAATAGTGGGGGTACGCTATATTTGCCTTGGCCCTCAAACACAGATAAATATCGGGTCATTCTGAACACCCACAAAATCAGTCTGAGGACTGAGATAACAAATTGAACAACTAGAGGGAAAAAAGAGACCACATTAGGGAAGCACAGACAGACTTCAGTGAACAACACAGTGCCCACAGTGGAGGCTTGAGCTGCGTACACTAAACCCTGCCCCCCTGAGCTCTGTAGGTGCTTTTTTCCTAAGGCAAGCTTGCCTGAGAGCCAGAACAACAGGCACCTTCCCCAGAAAACCAACACAAACCACCCCGCTCTCATCAAGTCTACTGACCATGGAGTGTGGCAAAACTTCAGATCTAGTGGAAGCTGGATCTAGCTTCTTTTAACAAGCTGACCAGAGCACACCTAGCTAAAACTCGCCATGCACTGGACAAGGTCCAAGCACTCCCTACTGCAGGGAAGAAGAAACTCTGCAGAGGACTGACATGAGGGAAAGAGCAGCAGAGTACACACAGCATACACCAGAAACATTTCCTGAAGTATCAGGCCCTGATCAGTATATGACATCTTCTTCATATAGCCGTTACTCTCAGGAACAGGAAATATAACAGGCTTTCCTAACAGACAGAAGACAAGAGACCCAAGCAAAATGCCACATTGGAGGAATACATCCCCAAAGAAATAACAAGGTCATGGTCAGGGATCTAATCAATATAGGTATAATATGCCTGAAACAGAATTTGAAACAACAATCATAAGGATAGTAGCTGGGCTTGAGAAAACCATACAAGATACTGGGGAGTCCCTTACTGCAGAGATAAAAGACTTAAAAACT